GGAAGGAAAGGAGACAAAAATGACCCACAGTCTTACCTATAGGCAATCTGTAGGGGATATTTTCTCAATATAGATATTTTCTCAATATAGATTTCTTTTTCCAGATAACTCTAACTTCTGCCAAGCTGACAAAAAACTAGCTGGGACACACACACACACACACACACACACACACATACAACAAAGAAAGATACAAAGAAAGAAAGATACAAAGAAAAAAGAAAGAAACAAACAAAAGGAAAGAATGAAACAATCAAAGAAGCAAAAAGAAACAAAGAAACAGGCTGAAGAAATGGCTCAGTGGTTAAAAGCACTGAGTTCAGTTCCCAGCAATCACATGGTGGCTCACAATCATCTGTAATGGGATCTGATGCCCTCTTCAGGTGTGTCTGAAGACAGCAATGATGTACTCACAGTCATACAACAAATAAATCTTTAAGGGGGGGGGGGGACGGAGGGAGAAAGTAATCCAAAAGGAGAGGTGAACAGCACTGCCTAGGCTTTCCAGGAAGCAAGACAAAAAGCTGTTTCGAGAATCCTGCCTCGGATCTCCAGCCCACACACACACTTCAGTTTACCTGGGCTAGTCCTACTGAGGCCTGGGCAGGAATAAGATCTCAGATGAGATCCCTACTGGAGCCAGGGTTGAGAACATGATCTGAGAGGGGCCTGTGTCCCTCAGAGTGCTCTACCTCACTTTATGACAAGGTAGGTGTGGCTCTGGTTTCCAGGACAAGTGTCCAAGCTGCTCTGTGACAAAGAGCCACACCCTCCCCCTGGGAGGGTAATAGAGCTGTGGGCAGCTGCCTCCTTGGGAGGACACAGAAGGTGGCTGAGGAGGATGGCATGCCTGGGTTCCCTCCTCCCCGTGGGCTTACTCCTCCTCCTCCTCAGCCCCGAGGCCCGGGGAGAATACGGCGTGGTCCACGTCGTGTCAAAGAACTGGAGCAAGGACTACTGTGTCCTGTACAGCTCTGACTACGTCACCCTCCCCCGGGACCTGCGCTATGCCCCACTTCTGCCCTTGCATGACGGCACCAAGACACCATGGTGTCCGGATGAAGACTCTTTCCACCAGGCCCAGGACAGTTTCCCTAGACAGCGACCCCTGCACCAGACTACTACCATGGTCACGCGTGGCAACTGTAGCTTCTATGCCAAGGGCTGGTTGGCTCAAGACCAAGGTGCCCATGGGTTGCTCATTGTGAGTCGGGCCAGCAACCAACAGTGTTCAGATACCACTTCAAAGCCCCAGGATCCCAGCAAGCCCCGGCCTGCCCTCACCATCCCAGTGGCTGTGCTCCGTTACACCGACATGTTGGACATCCTCAGCCACACTTACGGTGACACCAATGTCCACATAGCCATGTACGCTCCCCTAGAGCCTATTATTGACTATAACATGGCGATTATCTTCATCCTGGCAGTGGGCACTGTTGCTGCAGGTGGCTACTGGGCTGGTTTGATGGAAGCAGACAGGCTGCAGAGGCACCAGGCCCGAAGAGGAGGGGGCCTTGGTGGTCACAATCAACAACAAGCCATGGCAGCTGAGAGATCCCAACGGGCCTGGGAAGATGAAGACTATGAAGACGCACCTGTGGATTTCACGCCAGCCATGACGGGCGCTGTGGTCACCATGTCCTGCTCCATCATGATTCTACTGTACTTTTTCTATGACTGCTTTGTCTATGTCATGATTGGGATCTTTGGCCTGGGTGCCAGTACCGGCCTCTACAGCTGCCTGGTACCCACAGTGCGCTACTTGCCCCTGTGGCGGTACCAGTGGGTCCTGCCTGGACACCGGGCTTCTGTAAAGTTGCCATTACTACTGCTGGCAGGCCTGTGTGCCTTGGTGACTGTCCTCTGGGTCATCTACCGCAATGAGGACCGTTGGGCATGGCTCCTGCAGGACACTTTGGGTGTTGCCTACTGCCTTTTTGTCCTGAGGCGGGTGCGGCTGCCCACACTCAAGAACTGCACTTCGTTCCTGCTGGCTCTGCTGGCCTTCGACGTCTTCTTTGTCTTTATCACACCCCTGTTCACCAAGACTGGTGAGAGTATTATGGTAGAAGTGGCATCGGGCCCAGCGGATTCTTCAAGCCGTGAGAGGTTACCTATGGTGCTCAAAGTGCCCAGGCTGAGCTTCTCAGCCTTGACATTGTGTGACCAGCCCTTCTCCATCCTTGGCTTTGGTGACATTGTTGTCCCTGGATTCCTAGTGGCCTACTGTCACCGCTTTGATGTGCAAATCCAATCTCACCAGGTCTACTATATGGCCTGTACAGTGGCCTATGCCGTGGGCCTGCTGGTCACCTTTGTCGCCATGGTCCTCATGCAGATGGGCCAGCCTGCCCTGCTCTACTTAGTGTCCAGCACTCTGCTTACCAGCCTTGCTGTGGCTGCCTGCCGCCAAGAGCTCTCCCTTTTTTGGACTGGCCAGGGCAGAGCCAAGATACCTGCTGAGCCTGTGGCACAGCCGTCCAGTGCCTCTGCCTTCGTCTCCAAAATGAAGCTGGAGAGTGTGAGGGAGTCCCATACAACCAACAGGTTTGAGGAGGCCACTGATGGAGAGTCAGGGGACTTAGACGGCACCGGGGATGAGATGGCAGAGATGGTCACCCTATCCGAGGATGAAGGCACAAGTCCAGAGGGCCACAGCGAGAGTTCTGAGGGCTGGAGTGACGCCAACTTGGATCCCGACGAGCTACCCTCTGGCTCCCCGATGGCCTTAGAGGAGCTGATGCCTCTGGCTATGTTGATCCCACTGATCCCACCGATCCCACACCCCTCCGAGCTGGGCCACATCCGCACCCAGTCTCGGGTCCATGACAGCAGCCTGCCCTGGATGGCGTTGCACAAGAGAAAGGGCTTGAAGGTGAAGAAAAGTATGTCAACCCAGGCTCCCCTATGAACAGAGTTCCCTAGGACCTGTACCTCTCAGAGGGCATCCAGAACACTGCATGGGAATGCTAGGCAGGATAAGAGATTGGGCATTAGAGAAACTCCCTATCTTCCTCTGGAGTCTCTTTGCTTGTTAGTACTGTAAGACAACAGTAGCACAGAGTAAGTCTGTACTACACTGGGAAGGTCCCTGTGGGTTGGTACCACTTCCAAATTATGCAGAGAGGAAACTGGGGCTCAGGGAGGTCACACAACTTGTGTAAGTCCACTCAAGATCTGCCCCTCCAGTGATCTCTGGGAAGCTCCTTTCCCTACCTGCCTGGCTCTTCAACCCAAAGCCACAGTCTCTTACTACCCATAGCTACCCTTCCCACTTCACCCATCCCCAACATCAGCACCCCCTTATGGCTTCTGGATCCTTTCACATCCTCCTCCTCTCCATTTGCACACGCTCTTCCCACTAGCTGGATGCTTTTCCTGTCACAGAAAGACCCCAGGCCCAAGAACTCATGAGGCTTCCTTTGAACCTCAGCTCAAGTGGGCTTGCTGAACCCCCTCCACTCAAGGCCCAGACATCCCTTGGCTCTGTTCCTGAGACACTGAATATGCCCCTGCTGTGTCCCCTGAGGTAGTAGGCACATTGGAGGGCCCTGTCATCCAGAGCAGGAGTATAGGGCAGGCAACAACTTAAAGCCAGGAGTGCAGAGAGATGGGGCTTCAGTGGGAAGTTTTACAGATCAGGTAGCCAGGTCTGGCTGGCTCTGCGGGATGAGCAGGGTTCTGCAGAACTTGAAAGGTCCATTGGCAAAATGTGGCTTATAAAACTGAGTCCTCTGGAAGCAGGGGCATGGACAGGATGACCCTACAGTGTGTTTAAAAGCGGTTTGACCAGAGCAACCAGAGTATAGGGTAAGGAAACACCTTCTGAAGGAGGCCTTGTTGGGACATGGGGGCTCATGTCTCAAGAGGCAGTGCTGGAAAGGGGCCAGAGTCGAGGAGCTGGAAATCTCAGCCCCACACCTATATAGAGCATATCACTTAGTGAAGACCAATGCTCTCCCTGCTCAGACTGCTTATCTGTAGCATAGGGTGGGCAATACTGGAGACTATCAATAGGTCTGAAAGAGGTATCTGTCGGGTGACCAGTGCCCCACAGGGAGGAGGAGCTACAGGCTCTGTCCCCTCCTTCCTGAAGTGCTCTGGCCTCGTTTGCATCAATAAGGCCCTGGTTTTCTTATCCTTTGCGATGGAATTTGGCTTTGTGAGGGTGAGGACCTGCCTGTGCTCCTTGCTCATTAGATATGTTTTCAAGGCAAGGGCAGAGTCTGGCATGTCATAGGTATTTATTTGGTTTATGTTTGCTGGAGGAAAGAAGGAAGGAAGGAAGGAAGGAAGGAAGGAAGGAAGGAAGGAAGGAAGGAAGGAAGGAGGAAGGAATTAGGCACTGATGTCAATTGAACTGTAGAAGATGAAGATTCTCCCTGAGGAAAGACCCGACTGCCTAGGACTTTTTCTTGGAGTTTAGTCAGAGTGAATGGGCTCTTCAAAGCCCCACTTACGGGGAGGAAACATATCTCAACAAACAGTGGCCGCAGACCCAGCTGGACAGGATGGGGTGAAGCACTAGAGCCAGGACTCTGACCTGAGACGTTGGCAGACCCACCCACTGCTGCCAGTAGCCATCTGGCCTGGACAGAGGGGCCGCCATAGGCTCTGGCTCATCCCCAGCCCAGGCGGCCTCCCCACTGTGAGTCTGCGTCACTGGGCCCATGGGGCAGGCTGCACCCCTGCCAGGCCCTAGAGGAAGGGCTGGACAGAGTTCAGGCCTCAGCCCCCTCAGTCCTGAGTTGGAGGCAGGCAGCAAGCTTTCTCTCTGGGTGTGTGCAGCAGAATGCTCTATAGATGCCAACACAACAGGTGTGACAGTGATGGTGTTGACACAACCCTTCAAGGACCAGAGCCTCAGGAAGGCTCTGGACAGGGCAACTACCCTCCTCCTCATTTACCAGAGTCCAGGTAGGCAGGAACAGCTCATAGATCTGAACGTGCTTAGTACTCACGGTTGGGACAACACAGTATCCACAGGGATTCGGAGATCAGGCCTGTGCGGGAGTTAACCTAGCATGTAGTAGGTTCCAGTGTCCCAGACATCTCCAATGCAAACCTTAGTGCCTCACTGGATAAGTACTCCTGTCTGCCAACACCCAGCTCCCCTAGGTGCAGCTCCCTATCTACACCCACCCCGCAGGATGCTTGAGGAAGATTTTGTGTGAACAACCTAAGCCCCAGAACTCACTAGAGGCTGGCTCTTCCTTCCCATCCTGCTCTCAGCCCTCACTCCTAGGAATCTCCCCAGGGCCTAGGCCTCTCTGCCTCCTAGGACTCTCCTGAGTATCCTTCCTGGGATCCCAAGCTAAGGTCTGAGTATGACCTGTAATGTGATCTAGATTCCCTGTCTGCTAAGCTGCTCAGCTCCGGAGGGATGGGAAGGGACCAGAGAGGGCCCTGGTCTTTTTTTCTGTCAAGAATACACCACAGCAATCCTGCTTACTACAAACAGCTCTGGGCAATGACCCTGCATAGATGTTGCAGCCTGGGGTGTTTAAACACAGACACACAAGCTCAGTGGCATCTCAGGCACTCAGCTGGGAGCACATTTGAAAAAGAAAAGCTCTTGAGCCCCACATTCTGACCTAAGGTCCCTGAGTGGAACTAGGTGCCTGTGGGTTTGAAGGGCTCCCGCCTCTGCCTCAGGCTGAGCTTCTTGAGAATTGAGCCCTGGTCCTCCTATGCATCAGGGATAGCTGCTGGGAGGACACAGACCAGAATTCCAGGTACAGAACCCACAGTAGTGTCCAAGCCCCTGCCTCGGCTCATACTTCCAGCCAGCTCCTCATACACTAATGCCTCTGCCAGGGCCCTAGACCCACAAGGCTATCCCTGGAGCCTCAGGTTCCATTCAGCTTTACTGGCCAATCACTGGGAAGAAGGATTTGAGCCAGCCTCCTCAAGCCATCAATCAGCTTTATCCATGCCCTGTACTTTAAAACAGTGGTTCTCTACCTTCCTAATACAGTTCTTCATGTTGTGATGGCCCTGTACAGACTGGTTTTGTGTGTCAACTTGACACAAGCTAGAACCATCAGACAGAAAGGAGCTTCAGTTGCAAAATGCCTCCATGAGATCCAACTGTAAGGCATTTTCTCAATTCGAGACCAATGGGGAAGAGTCTAGTCCATTGTGGGACATGCTATCCCCAGGCTTGGTGGTCCTGAGTTCTATAAGAAAACAAGCTGAGAAAACCATGAGGAACAAGCTAGTAAGTAGCCCTCCTCTGTGCCCACTGCATCTGCTCCTCCAGGTCCCTGTCCTGTTTGAGTTCTGTTTTGTCCTGACTTCCTTTGGTGATGAGCAGCAATGTGGCAATGTAAGCTGAATAAATCCTTTCCTCTCCAGTTTGCTTTTTGGTCATGATGTTTCATCACAGCAATAGAAACTAAGACAGAAGTTTGTACCCAGAATGAGATATTTCTGTGACAGACCTGACCTGATCATGTTTTTGTGAGGATTGTGGAAGTACTATGGAAATGGAACTTTGGGTTAGAAAGTCATTGAGTGCTAAGAGCTCAGTGGGATGTCTGTTAGACGCTTAGAAGACAAGAATGTTGAGAGTTTTACAGGAGAGGGAGGCCTGGCTTATGAAGTTTTAGAGAGAAATTTAAAGGCTCTATCATGCTGTTTGGTATTTTGAATTAAGATTCTGTCGTTCTGGTCAACCCGGGGTGAAGGGTCAGCCACAACTAACAAGAGACCAGCACCACTGAGGTTGAACCTCTCTCTGTGTTACTGGGACAATTGATACTGGTTAGCTGGAGAAGAGACCAGCATCATTGAGGTGAAATCTTCTGGGAAGTGTTTCCTGAGAGCACAGAGAGGCTGTGTTCAAGAACTGGCCAAGGTTGTACCTCATCCTGGCAGCCAAGCTTGGTAGTGTAAGAGCCACCTAAGACTGGTTTGCAGGAATGAAGAACATGGAGGACAACTGAGGCTTAGCACTGTGAGAGGCCAGAAGAGGCCACTGGTGGAGGTGCAGCCTCAGTGTCATTTGAAGGTCCAGGACTGAAGGGTCATGCAGAGTTGAGGCTTGGCACCATAAAGAGAACCTATGAGAGGTTATTGGTGAAAGTGCAGCCCAGTTGCAGCAGAGGACCCCAGTGTTTTGGAGGTGCTAGTACCATGGGATGATCACCAAGAACAGCAGCAGCAGTGGAGTGGAGCCAGCCAGAGTCTAGAAGACAGGTTGTGCATGCTGCATAGGGCAGGGCTGGAGAAGTGACCAAAGCCCTTTGGAGAAGCGCAGAAAATAGTGAGTGGACCCCAGACATTGGGCAGTTGGAGTTTGATTTTGTTTTGATTTGACTGTGAGTGTGCCTTGATTTTTCCCTCTTGAGGTAAAGCATTTGGTTTATTTATTATTATTATTATTATTATTATTATTATTATTTTACTGGAGCCCACAGTTGAGAGACTTTAAATTTTAGAAGACTTTGGATTTTAAAAGAAATTGGCTATTTTAAAGGGACTGAAAATTTAATGTGTTTAAGTTTGTAAACACTGTGGGACTTTTAAAGTTATTTATGTTTTTAATGTGAGATCTTGGGGTGAATAAGAAAAGAAAGGTTGTGGTGATATGTTGTTGGGCTGTAGAGATGGGTCAGTGGTTAAGAGCAATGGATGTTCCTCCAGAGGACCTGAGTTCAATTCCCAGCACCCACAAGACAGCTCACAACTGTCTGTAACTCCAGTTCCAGAGGATCTGACACCCTCACATAGATACATATGCGGGCAAAACACAAAACTAAAAATAAATAGCTAAAAAAAACCCCAAAGTAATGTGTTAGTGTGTCAAGTTGACCAGAGGTCAGTTGTACTGGCTAGTTCTGTGTCAGCTTGACCCAAGTCATCAGAGAGGAAAAAGCCCTGGTTGAGGAAATGACCCCTGAAAGTCTGTAAGGCATTTTCTCAAATAGTGATCAATTGAGAAATAGGAGGGCCCAGCCTATTATAAGACATGTCATCCCTGGGCTGGTGGTCCCGGATTCTATAA